CTGTACATTCTTGCCTCATATCAACAGATACTTCTTCAACTCTTTAAGCTCAACTTAAGTGTGTTTCACTGCAGCTATACACTTACTTTTCAAACCATTAATACTTTTAATGAATTTATTACTTATTATCAATAAAAATACATAGAATATCAACAAGGGGCAGATCAAATAAATACTGTTGCTGCCAAGGAAGGGGCTTAGGACAACAAGGTATGTAATTATACTGATGTCTGAGGCTGATGAGTCCAACCTGTGAGTAGGAGAAGAGCATACGTCAAAGGCCCCGGGTGCTCCGACGAACAAGCTAGTTAGGTGCTTAAAGAGGGGTTGGACTAAGCTTAAGACGAAGACTCAGGGCTTAGTCCTTAAGAGCTCAGACGAGATCTCTCGAAAACAGAAATGCAAGAGATCAATAGTGAGCAAGATGGATTTACCTTGAATTGGGCACCCCTTTCTATAGTTGAACTTGCCATGAAGTGGTTAAAGGTAGTTAGGAATAGACTACTAGGATCCCATCTGGCCGATACCACGTGGTGCAATCCAAAACTGGCCATGTGCTTYTATATCAAATACTAAAAAACATGGGTCAAAGTAATAAAAAATGATTTAAATGCTCATAATTTAATAATGGATAGAGCATTAAACAAAACGAATAATTGGGATAAGGCTTTAGATGTGGATGGCCCTTTTAATTGATTTCAAAAGTGTTCAGCTATTCTGCTCTAACTAATTATGGACTATTTGATAATGGCTGAATTGCTGAATAGAATCAATTTAGTGATTCAATTCAGCAATTAAGGATTTCACACCCTACTTAAAGGGCAAATTGATAAGTGATTCAATCCAGCCAATTAAGCCATTATGGAGTTTTGGTTTCAAGGAGAAGGTAAGAAAACCTTTAGAATCCATGCTGGTCATTGAATTAATAAATATTAGAAGTCAGTGCTACTATAAATAAATGTGTTTGAGGTAATATTTAGGTAAGCAGCCATTAGAATTATGAAAACCAAAACCATTTTGGCTACATCTATATATCAAAAAATAAAAAGAAAAACATTTTAGTTAGAGGTTCTTAGTTTGAATGTTTTGACTATCTAACCCAAATTGAAGCTGACAACAATTGTGGAAAATTATTGAGCTAAAACTAGGGAGCTAGTGGCTCTTGGCTATAATACCTATAATAAAGCATGAAGACAAACCATTTCACTGTGTCCAGCTAAGACTAGAAAGATGAGCCTGTACCAAAACATACCATGATTATTGGTTTCCTGTTTTTTCAGTAGATTCTTTTTATATGGTTCAAATCAATTCCCTTCGTTACTTAAATTGCTCTTTCATTCTAGCTGTATGTTACATATTTTTGCAACATTTCGAACTTATGCTGATGTGATTGAATCATCAATTTCAACTATCTTTTCATCCAATTTAAAGGTGGGAGTGAGAGTAGATTATGATGTTTTGGCATGTAACTCAAAACACATAATGTGTAATGGGCATCTTTAAACACATTTACAACTATTAGACACCACATAGGACAAATGAGGCATGAAGGTGTTGATTCAACAACATCATTATAACATATCGACATTGCTTGATATGCCCATTGCATGTAAAACCTGAAGCAAGTTGTGGTATTTCTGTTTCAAGTGGAACCCATTTTACCAAAACTGGTTTTTGAACATTAAAGTTGATTCGCCTATGTGGTGCTGATGTAGCAGTGATTCTACCTGAATCACACACTGCCAAATGGCAAGTACTCTCTTATTAGGGGACCCTCACATGAGAGGTGATGTTTTGAATCATCAATTAATTTCAATCATCTTTCTCATCCAATTCCACTTAAAACATAATATTTTATTTGACATGTCTAAATTCTAACACATAAGCGCCATTAGACACCAACATGGGACAAATGGGGTGGGAGAATGTGTTAAAACCTGAAGCAAGTTGTGGTATACCCGTTTCAAGTTGAACCCATTTTACCAATTTATTTATTTATTTTTTTGCATGTTAAAGTTGAATTGCCTATCTGATGCTGATGTGGCAATGATTCAACCTGAATCCGAATCAGTACCAGATGGAAAATGCCCTCTTATTAGGGGATCCCCCACGTGAGATGTGATCTTTTGATATATGAAATAAGAAAATAGTTAAGACCCATACCCCACTTTGTATTGTTCCTCTCTGCATGGGGCCAGTGGCTAAACTATTTCCTCTTAAATTTCTTGGATCATGTCACTAGGAGAATATTTTTGGGGGGACAATTGTTTATGGGTCCTGTTTGGACATCTTCCTCCTACATTTCTGCAATTATATATGGATTTTGGATTAGTTGTTAAGAATATGGAGACATAGTTCTGAACCAATGTATATTATATTAAGTGATAATATACTTTAGCAGGCTGGATTCCATTTTCTAAAAATGGTAACATGAAAGCACTTGTTAATTTGTTAGTGGTCATTCACCATGTAATTTAGCAATCAAGAAATTTCCTTTTTACCCATTTAATTGCTGCAAAACAAATTATAAGAGTAATTCAGTTTAATCAATTCAGCAGTTACCAAAACGTCCCTTGGACTTGGACTTTTCCCTCCATCTTTTTCAGACATCAAAGTTCTAGATAAGATTTAGAAAACAGATGCATATCCGAAGTATTGAATGATAAAATTGTCATTTATTTGGAAAACTGGGGTATTAGATATAGGGTTGTGGTGGTTTTCTCCTTGGATGAAAAGGAAGAGAAAGAAATTGATTGAAACTTATATTATGCTTATAACACTAAAGATTGTCAAGGTTCAATTAGTCCTAATCACAAGGAGGATGCCACCTTGAGTCCTTGACTCATAGGAATATCAAGGTTTATATTTACAAGAATTAGGAATGCTAGACACCCTCATTACAGCAGCCATCGTCTTAGTTTGACCTTCTTTTCTATTTTATAGCACCATTTCAGCTTGGAGCATTGGCACTCTCTTAAACAATGTTTCAATGCCTGGTCTAGAAGCTGAACCTCTTTTCTCTTCAGGTGGGATAGTGGTTAAACAATTAGGGTCAATGGGTCAAATATGAAAGCTGTTTTGCTTTTCAGTTCTATTCAATGTGATATTCATTGTTATGGACACTTAAATCATTTCTAACTAATCCGGCCTAACTTATCTTTGGTCTACCCCTAACCCTTTATCCTCTTCAATGATACAATATGCAAATATCCCACTTAATTAATGGTTTTTTGATGGGTCATCATTCACTAAGTCAACATTTCTTTTATATTATTATAGCAGGTTAGAGGTAGGGATGTCAATGGACCGGTTCTGGGTTGGATTCCGTTTAAAAATCCATTTGGACGGATTGGATGGACCAATAAGACATATTGAAGTTGGATGAACTAGACAGACCAATATGACATATTGGATTGGACCTGGTCCATCCATAATGAATTTCTATTGGATTGAGCCAATATCTGATCCATCAATAGAAGATAAGAACATAAGTATCAATAGGCTAGGTTTGAATTGAAACCAATCTAAATTAACAGGAATTTGAACAGATTGGATAGTCTCTGGACTGGTCCAAAATGGTCCAAAATATTCTGCTTTTAAAAGAATGAAAAATACACTCAATGACCAAAGCATCATCCACCCATTCCATTAGCCACACGTCATCCAACAATTTCTGTCCATCAAAATTTTGCAAACAATATATTGCAAAAAGACATGAATTAAAATAGTAAAAAATGATTGAAGTATTAATAATTGAATAATAGATATGGCACTAATTAAACAGAATAAAATGGTAAAAACAAGATCATAAGGATTAGATGGTAATGATATTTAGAGAATGTAGTTTCATTGTGAATGGTAGATAAAAAGATTGCAATTTATGAAAGAAATATTATTAAACAAAGTTGTTATTCTATATGAGTTAGGCTGTTAAAAGTCAAAGTTGGTTAGGTTCTAGATACCGAATAAATATTAGCATAAACCTCCCCCATTTCAATTTCAAGTCTTCTATGCTTCATCATATTTTCATGTAAAAATACTGTTTAATGTATTTATTTCATTTAAAACATGGAGCATTTTGATTGGTTTAACACAATACCCTTTTCTTTTCTTTTCTTTAGATGATATATCACTTTCATTCTATTTAATTTGGGTGACTGAACTTAAAAATATCTCTCGATCTAGATGGCCTAGACTTTTGGATGTTCAGCTTGGAAATACCTCTTGATCTAGAAGGCTTAGACCTTTTCTTTCTCGAACTGTCATTTGGTTGGTGACAATTTACTCTGTTCCAAATCATTTTTAACTGAGGGATGTATTTAGGACCCTCCCTCCCCTCCATTTTTAACTGAGGGTTGTTATACATGTTTCAAAAGACAAAACTAACCCTATCTACTAATTTTGGGGGTTGATTTAGGCACACCCATTTTTTTAAGTAACCATAAAAAGACGTGTCTATAAGGATGATGACCCAAGTATAGGGGTTTCTTTTTGTCATTCAAAACATAACCTTTGACCATGTGGGGTGCCTTTTATATGCATATGATGTGGCTAAATCAATTCCCTTTGATGAGAATATTTTCATGGCTAACCCTTTTGTGTTCACATGGCTGGGATTAAAAGATCAATCCTTTCCCAAGAAAAACTGAGGTTGCTATGCCATCCATTATCCTCTTGCCTACCATGTGATGTAGATCAAATGGTTGCAATTTAATGCTTCTCAAGACAAAATTACATCTAGAAAATTGACCATATACTCCCTTTTGCTTTGATCAATTCTTTTATCTTTTCTTAGTGTAGACTAAATCAGGAAATTGTTTGTTGTCGAGAGGGGCATCAAATTATAACGGACGAGGTTACATTTGTCATTTGAAGGGGGTGTTGAAGTAAACAACGGTTGGATGGCATTATGTAATTTAATGAGATATTAGGGGCATTTTCAGAGAGGCCTCTGTTTTCAGATGAGGTGACAAATTCCGGGCCTTGTTTGGACATTTTGCGCAGAGAGGAGAAAGAAGAAAGAGGAGAGAGAAAGCGAGTTTCCCACTCTCTCTCTCTTTCTGCTTTCCCTCTCTGATTTGTATGCTTGTGAGAGGGGAAACTCGACAGAGGAGGGAGAGGAGAGAGAGAGGGGGTAAGGATAGACTAGAGAGAAGTCTCTGCGAATGAGCTTTGACCCTCTCTCGTCCATGGCAGGTTCACACCCTTGGTTCCTCTTTTCATCCTCTTCTTCTAGCCCGACACTTYTTTCATTCCATTAAAGCACCTCACGGTCTTAAAACCCACCTGGGTTTTGTTTAGAGTTCTCTTTCCCTGCGTGGAAATTCAGAAATCTTGTAGGTTTTCGCTCTGGAACTGACCCGTCCTGCTTCATTTCACGGGACTAGACCATTTCTCTGCAAGGAAGATTCTGTGCTTTCTATAAAGGGTTCTCTCCTATTCAACATTTTCTTTCTTCAAAACGGTCCAAGAGCTCTGCAGCGGATTTAGTTCCTTGTGGGTATAGTTGGATCTTGTCTTCAGCACTTCTGGCTTTGCTGAAAAATAGAAGGACATTAATATATGAAGATTGATTCTTGATTTTATTCTTCTTTTTTAATTGGCAGGAACCCACGTTTTCTTGACCTTATTTGGTTGTTTCGCCATTGGGAACTTGAACAGAGGCTAGGTTTTCTTGGTTTCAGGCTTTTACAATTTCTGGAAGATTTTGATTGATACTTTCTTTTTATTTCGATCGATCTCGTTCAGAACTTGCGACGCGTAGTGTTCAAAGATCACAAAAAGGTAGAAAGTAAAGCTTTGAAAGATGGGTAATTGCTGTACGACGCCCACGCTTGCTATAGGGAACAAAAAGGCAAAGAAAAAACCGAACCCTTTCTCCATTGATTACTCTGTAAATTATGCTGCCGGAGGTGAAAATAAGCTCACGGTCTTGAAAGAACCGACTGGTACTGACATTGAGAGCACATACGAGCTGGGTCGCGAGCTTGGGAGAGGAGAATTTGGGGTCACGTATCTTTGCACAGATAAATCTACTGGGGAGCAATTTGCTTGCAAATCAATTTCAAAGAAGAAGTTGAGAACAGCCATCGATGTCGAAGATGTGAGAAGAGAGGTAGAGATCATGAGGCATTTGCCTAATCACCCAAATATCGTAAGCTTGAAGGACACGTACGAGGATGACAATGCTGTTCATCTCGTGATGGAGCTGTGTGAAGGTGGGGAATTATTTGACCGGATCGTCGCCAGGGGACACTACACCGAGCGAGCTGCTGCTGCCGTTACCCGAACTATCGTCGAAGTTGTTCAGGTTTGTTCTCATCCACCCTCTTTTTGACGAATTGATATCAGATTGATGCTTTGATGAATTGTTCGCATGGGTTTCTTTTTCTGATAGACCTGTTGATATCTTTGTTTCTATTGATCTTGATCTTGAGGAGCTCTTTTTTCAGGAAAATCTTTTTGATTTTGTAGAAAATGAAATCTTTAACTCAACTTTAATTGGTAACATTAATTCTGTCCTTGTTGTATAGAATCCATTTGGGTATTTTCTCTTTATGGTTTGGACTTTCGGCCTATTTTAATTAATTTCTTGGATTCATTATGGTCATATGGTGTTCCATCTAATATTATCTATATCACATAACTTGTACTAGTCGAATTGGTACTTGCTTTCATGCGGTAGTGGCAAAAAAACTGAGACCTTGTCTGGTTGTGTCTTTCTGTTATGTTTTCTGTGGTCAATTTGGGTCATATTCAAGGTTATTCACGATCCCATGTCAGAAATTCCTACAAAGTTGTGTCCTTTATTCTTTATTCTTTGTTTTTCTTATCGTGTTTTCTCTAGCAATGCTTCTCAGACTGGACTATTCTGCTAGGTGTAACTTTTTATCATTTCTTGTTGCAACACCAATCATTTATTAGTGTCTCCTGGAGCTGGTTACAGTGATTTCTATTTTTGCAACACAATCTGTGTTCAAATCTTGATATGTTAAATTTCCAATATTCCATGCCCAACATTCTAACCAAGTAGAAGAACCAACAAAGGAAAGAAAAATCAAGTTACTAGGTCTGCTCTATCATCATCCTCTTTCAGTTTGTTCACCTGCTCTTTCTCGTTCTCTTTACTATCTATGTAAGTCTGTTAATACTGTTCCTTTTCTTGTTTCTTTAACTTGAAAGTGAAACTGAAATTTGTATGTCTTTCATTCAACTTGACAAAATTGCAAGGTGCCAACCAGCGGGTGGGTAAGGTCTCCTGCTGGTCGTAGCAGAGACTTGGGATCGTATCCCACCTGCACCTGGGTTGGGGGGATGGGCTACCCCCCTACTGAACCCTTCAAAAAGATATCAAAAAAAAAATGACAAAATTGCATTTGGCATGTGCTGTGGTCTTATGAAGCTTATGCAGTTTTGTTTTTGTTGTTGCATTTCAGGTGTGCCATAAGCATGGAGTGATGCATAGGGACCTAAAACCTGAGAACTTTTTGTTTGCAAACAAAAAGGAAACAGCACCTCTAAAGGCAATTGATTTTGGATTGTCAATGTTCTTTAAACCTGGTAATGTTTCATAACAACATTAATGTATTTAATCCTGGTTTTGCTGTTTTGTGCTATTTGTTTATCTGGTTTAAGGACTAGCTGTTGTGATTTCTTTTTTGAACTTTAATTCTTCCTCGTAATGTCGTTAAAATTTTATCATTTTTTTACAGGTGACCGGTTTACTGAGATAGTGGGAAGTCCTTATTACATGGCTCCGGAGGTGCTAAAACGGAATTATGGCCCTGAAGTTGATGTCTGGAGTTGTGGAGTGATCCTTTATATCTTACTTTGTGGGGTTCCACCCTTCTGGGCAGGTTGTTTTTTTTTTCTTCCCCTCTATTTGCTCATTAGTTGTAGTTTGTCCAGTTTGAAGAAGTTATGAAGTTGGAAACCACTTGGGTGCCCATCTGTTAACTTTCTTAGGAATATCTGGAAAAAACAAAGTCTGTTAGATTTCTTAAGTTCAGTTTGGAGCCTAGACAGTTGAATAGTTTAAACTTCAAAGGAAAAATAAATGAATAGTCTCATTTTGAAATTGAACTTTTCTTTTCAATCCTCGCATTGTTGTTTGATTTTTCCTGTCTAAAAGTTCTGATATCTATGCAGAAACTGAACAAGGTGTTGCACAGGCAATTATTCGCTCTGTCTTAGATTTTACGAGAGATCCCTGGCCCAAAGTTTCTGATAATGCGAAAGACCTTGTGAAAAAGATGCTTGATCCTGACCCAACGCAGCGATTGACGGCTCAGCAGGTTCTTGGTAATGTTCATTTCTTTTGAACTCATCGTATTTTATGCTTATGGAGTTATTCAAATACAAAATTAGGAACTTTTTCAAAATTAATCTAGATAAAAACCTGCAGAAGATTTACCCTTTTCTTTTGAAACTATCTTTGAATGCAGATCATCCCTGGATACAAAATGCAAAGAAGGCTCCAAATGTGTCTTTGGGTGAAACCGTGAAAGCAAGGCTCAAGCAATTCTCTGTAATGAACAAGCTCAAGAAAAGAGCTTTGAAGGTGAGGATATCAAATGCTTTGACTAGATTATCTATTGATAGCTGGTTATGAGTTGACATTTGAGATGTACAACCTTGGGTTAGTATACATCTACTTTTTTACTCATACTTCTAATCTTAAAATCACAGGTGATTGCTGAGTTTTTATCTGTTGAAGAAGTGGCTGGCATAAAGGAGGCATTTGAAATGATGGACACTGGTAACAATGGCAAGATCACCATTGAGGAATTGAGAGATGGTTTGCAAAAGCTTGGCCATCATATCCCTGAACCTGATGTTCAGATTCTAATGGATGCTGTAAGTAATACCGCATACACATAGCCCAACAGCCCCCCTCTCTATGAGTTGCCATTATTTGAGGTTCAGAGCATAAGCAGCCACTTTGTTTTCAAGACCTGGTGTCTGTCCTTCGCTTTCTTCAGTTTGTGCATATACATTTAAGTACCTTCATTTGTGTTATAATACATTGAGTGCTTTGTTGATTAGCTACTGATGGTTGGAAAAGTGCTATTAATCTCTACAGTTTGAAGAATGCTATATTTTGGAAGTTATTGAGAGTTGATTTTTTTGCAGGCTGATTTAGATGGAGATGGAGCTTTGGACTATGGGGAGTTTGTTGCAGTTTCGGTTCACCTAAGAAAGATGGGCAATGATGAACACTTGCGGAAAGCCTTTTCTTTCTTTGATCAAAATCGGAGTGGGTATATAGAGATTGAAGAACTACGGGAGGCCTTGGCTGATGAAGAGGGTGGGGATGCCAACAATGAGGAAGTCATCAATGCCATTATTCAGGACGTCGACACAGACAAGGTTGGTTTTATATGGGGTTGGAATATGAACCATATGCCTCTCTGTATAGGATCTCATCTCCTGTTAAATTGCATGACAATTGGAATTCAAATTTGTTTCCATTGCGTTTACTTGCAGGATGGACGCATTAGTTATGAGGAGTTTTCTGCAATGATGAAGGCCGGTACAGATTGGAGGAAAGCATCAAGACAGTATTCCAGAGAACGGTTCAATAGTCTCAGCTTGAAGTTGATGAAGGATGGGTCTTTGCAAGCAGTAAATGGTGGTGCTAGATAAGACGGGGAATCAGAACAAAAAGAAAAAAAGAATTAAAAGTAAAGAAATTTCTTTATTTTTGTTGAGTCTACAAAATTCTTTTTTTTTTCCTTACATTTTGTTATTATCATCTTGGACAATGATTATGTTCTACTTTTGGGGATTGGAGCGGATGTGTATTTCATGGCTAATGGCTATAGTTCCATGTTTTTTGAGAGTTTTCTGGAGGAGAAAAATGGGTCATAGAAAATTGAAGGCATGGGAAGGTTGTTATTGTCGTTGTAAATATGTCAATCTGGCTGAAACACTCCCCTTTTGATTAAGAATCATTGTCTATATGCTGCTTATCTGCTACCCCCACAAGTCCTGTTTGTCTTAGAGAGACATACACATGATAAATGAAATTGTTAGTGTTTTTATGGTTATACGGTCTTTCTTAGCTTCTTATGGTTGTATTGCTTTTCTGCTACTCGCTCAAATATTCAGTTTCTTTTTCTTCTCGTCTTGGTATGTATTCCTTATTTGGTTGACCTGGATTGTGATTTGTAGTTTACTCGGGTCCAACAATAATTGGAAGTCCCCTCAAAGTTTAGCACTTAGGCTTTGTTCGTTTTCTTGGGAAGTAGGGATGGATATGTTGATAGGTTCTAAGTAAAAGAAATAAAGGGTCTTGCAGAAAAGAACGATTCTTGAATGGCATTTATTTAGGAATTTGGGTAAATTGCTTACCCATGCGCACTGAAAATCACTAATACGTAATGGGACAACATTGACCCTTCAAGTGTTTCTCCATATAAGTGCATTTATGTAGGTAAGTCATTTACCGAGACATGAGTGAGCTTTAGTGGTACACTTCTTCTGATATTCCTCCCATACCTCAACCTACCTTTTAGTGGGGGATGATTCCTTTATTCTGCATTAGCAGAAGAGTCATGTACATTTAATGTTAAAAATGTATGGGTATTATATATACTGGTGGAAGAGCACATTGTCACAAGTGACCACTTCACATTACTTTCAAATGTATCTTGGGTGGGGATACACATATTTTGTAAGGGGATGGTATTATTGTAATTATTAGTATGATTTTCAACATTTTGATGTATCTTCTTGTCAAAGCACTAAAAGTTTAAATTACTCTCTAAGGGGACGTAGATAGTTGAGCAGTGCCAATACCGTGTAAATGTTAAGCACGAGGTCCCTTCGATACAAACTTGTATGTTTGTGCTTGCCATCATTTAATGCAATACAAAATGTCTTTTAACTAATTCATGTGCCAACTTGTTGCCTTTTCTTGTGTTGTTGTTTATTGCTTAGGTTTACTTGATGCATTCGGGTATTGCACGGGCCCCAACGACTAGTCTCATGATAATTGGCATCAGAGTAGGAAATCCTCCACACATTGGTCTTTGTTAATCGACCCATATTCAGCACAAACAATGAAAAGCAACCGTGACATCATTGATCACATACTACATGGGCTATCTCACGCCCACGACACTAACAAGGCACCAATCTAAGGACCCTTCAAAAACCAAGCCTCGAAGGGATACATAACCAAAGCAACCAAGCAGGACAAACCCATTGATCAATTAGTGATCATGGACAAGTGTGTCTTGCGTTACAAGGCAACCATTGGTGAGACCCAAGACCAGGATGATGAAATTCACCTCAACCTAAAGACTATCAAGAATGCCATGGAGTAGAAAGCCGCTTTAATGGAGCCTTCAAAAAGATCCACGACACCTTGAAACATTCACAAGCCAACTCCTCCCAAAGCTGCTTTCAAGGCATGATGGACAGTTTCCAAGCATAATTGGATGAGATGAGGGGTGAGCTGACACTCCTAAAAAGGACAATGGCCAACTCTACTAGTGCCTCATCCGCTCCAATCACACACATCAAGATATGACAATCAACACCATACTCGGGTGCTCAAGATGCAAAGGAGCTTGAAAACTTCTAGTGGCAAGTTGAAGAATATTTCTTTGTGAYTGCCATCCATAATGATCAAATTTAGGTATGTACGGCTGCAATGTATTTAAATGATATTGAAATATTATGGTGGTGTAGGTGTTTTCAGGACATTGAACGGGGCACACGTACCTTCAACACCTAGGCCGACTTCAATCGAGAGATCAAGTGACAATTTTACCTCAAGAATGTTGAATACCTTTTACGAATAAAGATGAAGAATTTGAAGGGCAATGACTTGTTGCATGACTACGTCCAAGAATTCTCAGCCTTGACACTTGAGATCTTCGACATGTCTGATAAGGACCACTTGTTCAACTTCATGGATGGCCTTAAACCATGGGTCGAGCCTGAACTTCAATGATGAGGGGTAAAGGACCTAGAAACATCCATGGCGGTGATCGAGCAACTTGTTGATTTAAAGAAGCCTAATGAAGTAGACCACCAGCCACATGACCTACACACTACTAGATTGAATCGAGGAAACTTGTAGTCAACTTCCACTTGGGAAAAACAATCATCCTCCAACAAGCCAGTCAATTAGCACAAGGGAAGAAGCTACAAGGACCTTACAACTCCAAGGTTACCAGTACAATAGGAGACCCGCCACACCTTCACCATGCTTTATCTACAATGAAATGCATTGGACAAATGAATGCCTCATGTAGATGGTCAATGCCCTCATCRCCAAGCTTGGTGATGATGAAGAGAGCGATGAGGAGAAACCCACACAAACCCACACAGGCACCTATGGTAGGCACCCTATAACTCATAAGTGCCATGGTCAAGAAAGAGGCCATAGTTAAATGGCCTAACAAAGCTTACAAGGGGATGAAATATGTGGACATCACCCTCGGTGGGAGGTCGACACAAGCCTTGGTAAACACTGATGCAACCCATAACTTCATCTCTCTTGTCGAGGCAAAATGACTCAGCTTAACCACTACTAAACAAACAGGTTAGATCAAGGCTATCAACTCAGGGGCCAAGGTAATAGAAGGCATGGCTAGGGGGATACAGCTCCAAGTTGGACGATGGAAGGGAAACATCAACCTATCTGTGGTGCCCTTGGATGCTTTTTAGGTTGTCCTAGGAATGGAGTTCCTCACACAGGTGGAAATAGCCCTCATGCCACACATCGATAGCTTATTCGTCTTGGACGAGCATTCTCCTTGCATGATCCTAGTGACAACAACCCTAAAGGTACATGGGAAGTAGCTTTCAACCTTGCATTTGTACCAAGAAGTAGACACCCATGGAGACAGTGCCGAGCCAATAGCATAGAAGATCTCCACATCAACACCTAACATCAATGAAAGAACAGGTGGGGAAGCCATCAACCGGCATCAGCACTACAAGCATCTAACCCTTATAGGACCTTGTGAGGAGCCATCATTGGGGAATAAATCACCATGGGAACCAATGCCCCAACAATCCAAAAACTCATTTTGATCTGAACTTAGCCCTAACTTTTCCTTCAATCAAGCCAGGTCATCCTTTGTCCTACCTTGAAGCAGCCAAGAAGGGACTTAATCAAGAACATAGCCATAGGATTCCCCTACGTAGTGTACATCTTCAAGCTTAAGCCCGGGCCATGGAAGAGTTGAAGTTTGTGGAACAACTGAAGAATCTTCCACCATAACAACAGATCAAAGCAACAAGCAAGAGTTGGTCTTCGTCCTCGAAGACCAAATTGAGTGGGGGAGACTATCACAAGTGAGCACTTCACCGTGCTCCCGACATGACATTATAGTGCCATCAAGTGTGTCTTGGGTGGGGCTACACATGTATTTTGTAAAGCGGTGGAGATTCCAATGGCATTATTGTAATTACTAGTATGGTTTTTCAACATTTTGATGTATCCTTCTGTAAAAGCACCAAAAGCTTAAGCTACTCTTTGAGGGGAGATATGTAGTTAAGTAGTCAATACCGTATAAAGGTTAAGCATGAGGTCCCCTCGACATAAACTTATATGCTTGTGCTTGCCATCATTTAATGTAATACGAAGTGTTTTTTAACTAATTCATGTGCCATCTTGTTTTTTTTTTCGCTTCATGGGGCTACACAACAGGGGGTAGCCCATCCCCTTTCCCTTAACCCCCCAACCCCTGGTGGTAGCGGGATTTGATCCCAGGTCTCTACTCCGACGAGTCAGAGAACCTACCAACTGAGCCATCATCAGTTGGCTCGCRTGCTATCTTGTTGTCTTTCCTTGTGTTGTTGCTTGTTACTTAAGCTTACTCGACACATTTGAATGCCACATAGGACCCCAATGACCATCTCCATGACAACACGGACATGTTTGGTGTGTGTATAATGTTAAAAACATACAAGTATCATATACACTCGAAGTTTTTGACCAATTTGCCATGTAAAAAATAACTAATTATCAATCCAATGTGATGATCGCTTAAAGTACAAAACTTAAGTTAGGTCTTTGATAATTTAAACATCTTCAAAACAATATGATAAGAGCAGCCCGGTAGATTTTTCATTTCGTAGAGTGGATCAAAAAGTTAGTTCATATCCTTTAATCATAAATGAAATCCGCCTTTTCCCTTTATCTCTTGGGTTTGAACTATGGTCAACATTGTTTATTCATCAATTAGAATTGTATAAGCTATATGGCTTAAATGAGATTTAAAATAGAACTCGAAATAGTTTGGATTATAAATGGATCTGATTAATGAAAAGTTAAAATATAAGGCGATGTTTGGATAGACTTTTATAAAGTATTTCATACTTTTGAAAGTATAAAAGTACAAAAAGCATGACATAGCATTTGTATTATGTACTTCATACTTTTTGTTGGAAAACTTTAAAAGCACGAATTAAGCATTTTATACTTCGTGCTTTTGGCGAGATTGTGCTTTCGTTTTCGTGCGAACGGGTGGTACCACCCTTCGATAAAACTCCTGATCCTACCTCCACTTGCAATTTCTAGAGTCAGATTGTCATCATTGGTCTTAGACCCCGAAACCACTGGAAACCGTTATGATGAAGTACAAACGAGCTTGCTTTTGCCAAACAAAAAATGRCACTTTTGTTTTGGAAAACATACTTTTCAATTTTTTATGTACTTTTTAACGCAAAAATACCAAAGTAAACATATTTTATGTACTTTTTAAAAGTACATAAGTAGAAATATATCTAAACAATACCTAAATTTGGGTCCCATTTTGAAAATCTCATATTAGCTTTCTAGCTTGTATGCATGTATGTATATATGTATGTATGTATTATGCATATGTATGTGTGTATTAATATAAATTTGAAACATTGAATTTGTTATATATATTGATTTATATAATTATAAAAATTTCATATATTAAAATCAATATATATTATAATTATAATCATATTCAAATTTTAATTTAATTGGATGGAGTTAAATCCAAATCAATAAAATACATGTGCGTGTGAGAGACAACATTTACAAAATAGAGGAAAA